TGAGTATTATTATTAAATACTCAATTATTCAGTCCAGTGTACGATTATCCATCATCTTGTAGGGGACTTACCTGATCAAATAGTAATCCCTAGCTCCTTCCCGCCACAGTTGACCGTGATCGTTCATCGAAGCTATAACAAATTAATAAACAAGGATTTTCCAACGAATCGGCAGCTTAAAATAAATATAATTAACAAAAGAATACATTTAAATTATAGAAACAACAAACCTAACTCTGGTAACCCTAACGCTCGAACAAGCCTAACAGTGCATTTCGACATTTAATACACTTCCCAAACTGTTCACAAGTTTCATTCTAAGTAATCCCGAAATCGAGAACTTTAACACCTTGACTCATTTCTGAAAAGATCAAAATAAAGTTCTTGAAATAACTAGCTAAAATAACGAACACAATACAAATGAACAAAATTGAATTAATCAATATAAAAATAATATAAAATCAATATAAAATAATCAATATAATACAACACAATTCACCTTTTAAAATTTAACGATCACAAATAATCACAGATAATTGCCGATCTTTCTAACAACGCACCTCCACTGTAAGATTTGCCGATACAATGACAACTAAAACGCCCTTTTTACTAAAGGTCACGACTAAGGTGATTGAAAACTTAAAATGACAATGAAAAACCCTTGAACCTGATACTTAGCTTCATAGAAATTTTATATACAGCAATAAATTAAATCTATTTCTTCTACAATTTCATTGTTTTTGAATTATTTATTATCTTTTCAGCGTGCCATTATCCGTTATTTACTTTATTGTGAAAGCATCCATCATAACTTCAGTGCCACATTATCAGTTATTAGTCGAATTTGTGTTGGAGGAAGGTTAAGCATTGAGTTCAAATACGACAAGCGAAGTCTGCCAGCTGCGCATACTCAACAAAACCTGAGTATTGAGGATAAATGTAATTGAATGCAACGTATCATAATAGCAGACATGTTTTCCTAATTGTTCAATATAAGATCGGTAATAAAGGAAACAGCTAGTTCTGATCCAGTCTTTGGAGTGATGGAGATTCGTTGGCAAATCAAATTCTCGCCTGACAAGACAGATGGATAAGATGTAAATCTTAACGCACAATCTATCTTACCTTTCATTCAAATATATTAAAAAATCTATAACTTTTGTGATCATACTTTGGTTAACTCATAGTTAATTCATGAACTGCATCTAAATATCATCAAATCGAACTTTTTTGGATAAAAATTTAATTTTTTTCTAACTTTTATAAGTGAAAGTAAATACACATATCCTCTCACATATAAATTCAACTAAATATTCGTGAGCTCATAATCATAATTATTATTAATCATGAATAGTATCCTAGTACATGATTGGTTATAATTGAGATGACGACTTCACTAATTACAAAAAAAAATCCTTGAAATTCCTTATAAAGTGACGACAACGTCGTTCCTCAAGCTTCTAACAATTCTATGTTTGCGGCATTCATTTGCATATAATTCAACATGTATGTAATTTTTGCAATTTAGTAACATAGAAGTACACGGGAGCGCACAAAGCGTTGGCCCCAGAGCAGAAATGGGAGTTAAGCCAGCAGTTGGTGCGGTAGTTGGCCGAGTTTATGAGCCGTTCGAAGCACCGACTCATCTTTCTTTACGGCTTCATCAGTAGCAATTGGTATTCATATGCAATGCGGATGCTAAACAAGCAGGGGTTGCCTCAAATTTTACGGCAGAAGGAGCTATAGCTGTAGCAAGAAAAATACGAATGAACCGCCTCAGTACAATACTTTCGGTCTGGTATTGTTCATAAATACTTAATACTTAATATTAATGTTCATAATACTTAATAAATACTTTTCACAGTATTTTGAATGTGAATAAATAAGCTAAAATAATTACTCCATATCTCAGTAACCTCGATGTTGAGTTCTGACAACTGCAACGCCGAATTGTAAAATTATACAGTTATTCATATAATTTTTCATTGTTTTCCAAATTTGGATCATTCATTTATTAAGCCAAAACTGTGTGCTGTTTCGATTTTTGAAATTGAAGCTTTTTACGATTTAATCTTTTTTGCAATCTAATTTCCTTTGATGCTCTTTTTACTTATCCCATCACGAATACAAACGATGACTTTGCTAGTCGACTTTGTAAAGTTTTTAAATTATACACTATGTGTATAAGTTTTATGCTTTCCACTACAATTCTTTCCGACAATTTTTCTACACAAGTATGGGGATTGAAGTTCGAGTATCTGGTCGTTGGTCGATTTCATAGATCACTAATGCTCAGCATTTGAGAGCAATGATCATCAATAATTGCATAATTTCGAGGGAAAATGTTTGATTTATGAATGTTCGGGTAATTTTTAATTAAACCTTAAAGTAGATATCTTTATATATAAGTTACAGGAGAAAAGTTTGTCCTTCACAAAACCATTCTGAGATGAAATGCTTCAGAACGTTATTTTCATTAAAAAAACGAACCGGTATTCCCTATTACGTATAGCTCCCTAAAACATTGTAGGCAAGATTTCAAACGTAAAATAAAATAATTTTAAAAGTTTTCCAAATCATCCAACAGTTCTTTTTTATTTTGTTACATCTTCGAGTAATTTTTCAAAAGCAAAAGTCGGGACCTAGAACTGAAGAAAACTTATTTATCACAGCAGCAGGAGCAAGCAATATGATACCAAAAATACCAAGACTATCTCACTAAGTTTGTAAATAGAATGGAATTGTCTTATGAGAAACCCTGTGGTTAGACATTGTTCAATTTGGCGACCAAGTCGAACGACGTAATGTGACGTTGGACAATAGTCTTTGATGGTCCAAAAATTCTAATAAAGTCACATTCGTGTTGGCACAAATACAGCACTGGGAACTGATTTGAAGTCACAACATTCCTGTTACAGGCGTAGTATTTCCTGCAAATTTCCCGTTCATGTGTAGCAATTAATTATCAAAACATGATCGGTGTACATTCCAAATTTGCGAGTTACTCATGAAATGTGGACGAAGAGACTAAGAAATTTTAAGGGATACTGTAGCATGAACGTCTAAAATTTCCTCCAATGGTGGCTATTTTGAATTTGTAGGATGATGTCTTTTATATGGCTGTCATCAATCGCAAAGTAATGATTTATTTAAACACTACACATATTACATGAAATACTAGTCAACGTCTATCGGCAAATAAGTTCGCCAGATTTTAATGAAAACCGTTACAAAAGCCATCTCAACCGGCAATTTAAATTTTAAGAGATATGGTATAATCAATAAAGCCAACAAATTTTCCCGGAAAATATTGAAACCTAAAATGTATATTAAATTAGATCGTCCAATTTAAAAATCTTGGAATCGATGCATGTTTCTCAGCAAAAACCTCGTCCAAATAAGTAATAATAATACTAATTTATTTTTTATCCGCTAGAAATTGTCATTTTATAGGTTTGACATTACTTAGCTCGTTTATATGGAGAGTTGGATTTCAATAATTGCCTCTATATAAATTCAGTGGTTCTAGTATCTCCAACCGAATAAACGAATATGAGTATAATTGTATTCGTGGAATTTAAAACTGATGATTAAGTTGATATCCGGGAGTATCTTACTAATAATTTGGTTAAACTACTTTCTATTTTCTTCTTTCGTTCTTTCGATTCTCCGTTTGTCTTGCTTAAAGGGTTTCAATAATACTTGCGAATCAAAAATGAACTAGAAGCGTCCCTGCTACAGTATATTTACATGTGCAATGCCAATTGCTTTTGTAGTAGTTACCTCTACATCATTAAAATTGCTTCAGTTCTTGGAATTCTGAATTCAAAGGGGATCAGTTATTAGCATTCATGATTAACATCGATCGTTATTTGAGATCACTGAAATTTAAGCATGTCGCATTTAAATGGCTCACATCTCTAACAATGGTATCGCAAAATGTCCAATCCGTTGAACTATTAATTTACCCATACCCATTTTTCATTTCATTATAGAATAGTTTTGACAAACGTAATTCAGATTTTTACTTATCGAATGGGAGTAATTAGTATGTTCGTTAACTGTAGCAGCTCGAGAACCCGGGCAATGAACAATGTGTCGATATAAAATCTTGGAAGATATTTCCAAAAGCTCAATAATTTGCAAAGTATTTTTCAATGGGGTTAGTGGCTAGACGACATTAACTAGTGGCCATGAATCTTGCTGGAATAATTATAGAAAATCTCGAGCAATACTCGAAATCATTAATTGGATAATCGTTTTAATCATTCAATCTATAGTAGATGATAGAAATTGAACATTTAGTCACCGCTCCTTATAACGTAGGAAAATTAAAGTCCGTGCGTATTTCCTTTAATATTTTAGAGTAAAAATAACCTCATTAATGTAGAGTAGATAATAAATATCCATTGGTCACAGCAAGAAAAATATATGCTTTCACCGTATTGAGTATCACGTCAAGTGCATCGCTTTTTGGACAAAGACTTACTAATTTCTCTGAGTGAAATGGATGCTTGGAAATACATCTACCTCACAAGTCCAGTAATTGTCAGGCAATTGTTTTTAACAAAAACATCGATTTCTTACCGACCCGGGGGAATGTACAAGGAAGTATACGAACGTATTATTTTAGAAAACGATTGGAGATACGTTAATGGCCGCGTACGTTTAGTATGATATGGCTAGTCCTAACTGATGATATGGCTAACAGTAATTTATTATTTTAATTGAAATCGAATGATAATACTTTCATTAGGTTCAAGAAAAATTTATTTCTGTGATAACGTGTTTGCCGTTTACATTTTTAAATTAATACTAACGAATTGGGTCACGTAGGGGTGTTAATGACAAATTTTCGTTTCAAATTGATAACGTGTGCGAGAACAATGGGAGAGAATCATTTAAATGTCTTACAATTCACTTGAAATTGAAGCTAAACTCTTAATAGATGCAGAGTTTCACGAAAGAGTTTCTGGACATAAAAATGTCACTAGAAATATTTATATCGTGTTATAAGCAACAGTAGTTCGATCAGCCGTCTGACCGTAGTCCGCTGTTAGTATCACGTTTCCGGAAAGTTCTTCGTACGATCCACTTCGGTACTGAAAACGATGTTTGAAAGAAAGATGAGAACACAATCATTACTGATGTAACTATACCGGTAGATAGGAAAATAATTTTTAGCAGGATGATGAAGTGCTAAAAACTTTGGCGCATATTTAATTTGGAGAATATTTATCGTTTGGCTGATGCAGTATTTGATGACTCACCAAGCTGGCATCAGAGACACCATGCAATGAAGGCGGTTGGTAGACAACGCCCGCGAAACCCTCGCCGCTCTCGTGTTGTCTGAAGAATTGTTCACCATGCGCGTGCACTTGCAGGTCCTTGCAGTAAGGATCACCTTCAGCCTGTTTTAATAATGATCAGGGATCAGAGATTTAATTTGAGAAATATTAAAAAAAATCTGGAAAAATCCTACACGCAATGGGAGAAAAAAGTTTCGAGTATATCTAAATCTGAAGCCCGCACAACGTTCTTTGTTTATTAACGCAAACACAATTGTTTAAACTTGCCTCTGCGAGCACAGAATCAGAATAAGAATGCAACTGAAACTCAATTCACTAATACTTGTAGGTTTGGTGAGATAATCTATTCTAAACTAACTATTCTTGAGGCTACGATGTTGCACGCCCAATGTGCCTAAAAATTTACCGCTTCTTTTGGCTCCGGCTTTGTCATAGACTCCAGGCACTAAAAAAAGATTAGGGACGAAATCTACAATAATAGTCTTATATTAGAATAAATAGATCGTCGCATCCGCAGTTAAACAGATGTTCATTAAATTCACGATTTTGGACAATGACCACTACCTGCTGCAAGGGGCGTGGCGGCAGGAATCTTCTGTCAGGATGAGAGGCGGTCGCCGCTGTAGGATCGTCGGCGACAGGAGGAGGGCTTAACCTGCCGAACTGGTAGCTGGCTGATGCGTAGTGGTAGATGTCGTCTCCCGGGGCTTCATGATCTGGGGTTACGATAGAAAATAATTCCAAGGGCTTGAAGACACCAGTTGATCAAAATTTACGCAAATTGACAGAGCATAGATGTTAATCGAGTAAGTTTATCCTATACATAAAGATCGTAAAGAAATTTACGATCGCAGTGGATATTTTTCGGTTTGTTTGTTGAAAAAAACATCACTGAGAAAATAAGAATATTTTCTATATTGTTTAAACTTGTTACATAGTCCGCAAAATGCTCCTGAAATGAAAGACTTTTGCAATAAGAGATTTCGGCTTCAAGAGCAACGCATGTGCGGAAATTAAGTTGCATGAATTCCTGGGGCCATACTTTCAAAACTCGCTAAGATAACGTAAGTACTTACGCTTTATTTTCTTGTATATGATTGGTGGATTTGGCTTGAAATGCCGTCAATGATTAGCTGATAAACTTACGATCTCTTAACTTTTTTTGAAAGTATAGGCCCTGGTAACTCTGCAGAACCTCTTTAACAGGCGTTTCTGCTTTAAAAACTTAGGTTCCTACTAGAAATTCGGATATATTTTAAAGAAGACCCGATAGATAAGTGAGTAGATTTATTTTGACCACTAGGAGGAACTAATAAGCTAACGGGCCACTTCAACCAACAGGTACGTTCAAATGGACACATCACACGCTAATTTCACATAATCCAACAAGAAATGTTCATTCTGAACAGCACAAAAAAATTTTATACCAAATGACTCGGCAGAACCCAAAGAACATAAAAACCAATGAACATTTAATTACGATTTATAAATCCAACCATTGTGGGGGAAAGGCGAGCGCGGGGTTTTGACGGCCGCCATCGGCGTCGTTAAGACGTCTTTTGTGGAGTTTCTTCGGCTCGACTTCTGCGTGGCATCGCCTGCTTCTGCAACCGATCTCCCTGTGCACAATTAGTTTTTTATGGCACAGTACGTGTAATAAAATATTGAACATGTGCTTTGGTTCACGGCATTTGCGAAATGTTAGATGTTACAGCAGAAGGTATAGAGTACAATGAGATTTGAACAAAGCTCGTTGATGTTTACTGACATTGAAGTAACAAATACAGGCAATGAACCTTGAAGAATTTTACTTTTTTGGAGTAATTAGAAGTCTCATTGAATGTTTGAATTGAATCATTGAATCTATCAAGCAAAACATACAAGCATGCATGACTCACTTTTATTGAAGTAAATGACTAAGGTGGCCGCAATGAGGCACAAGGCCACTGTTGATACAACAAAGGGCACTAGGATGCGGTGGTCGCCCAAGCCTCCCCAAGTGCGTCTTCGGCCATCCACTCCTCCCACCCACCGTCGACCTTCGTCTGCCTGGCCAAGCACGCTGCCTAGTAAGAGAAATTATTTTGGCTTGTGGATAACTCATTGAATACCGGCGTAGTAATAAAAGTAATATAAAAAATATAGTTTTCATTTTTATATATTTTATATATTTTCCTGCGAATAGTGATAGGTGTGCAATCGTCACGTCAAGCACACTTCGCGGAGACACAATATTTTTCAAAGGTAGGAATTATTCCCGAAATATAGTGTAAATTTTTTATGGAATGTTTCATCCCGTTCTTTTTAGCGCATTTTCTCATTTATGGAAAAAGGCCCCATTGTGCTCGTCATGTCCGTCCGTCTGCCTGTCCGTCTGTCTGTCCGTCTGTGACTTCACCTTTTTGTCGACATGAAAATGCGCTCTCTGTCACTCACTGCAGGGAGTACTGAGTTATATTTTTCTGTATGTATGCCGCTAACGTCTCGCATTCCCATAAATACGACACGTTAGAAATACTTGGTCCGCAAATATATATGTTTATATGTATAGATCTTGTAATTGCCGGACACGGATGAAAATAAACGAACGGAATTGCCAGACTCTTTATTTTGAATAAGCTGTCGGCGGCATCTGTGTCCTTTACAACAAAAGTCTAATAATAGCATTCAATATCTAACAATGAGTAAATTGACCTTTTACTGACAATAGTTTAAGAAGTAGTTAGTCCGTGAGCTTTTTTCGATGATGGCTGCCATTACACTGGACTGCATTTTATATCTATCCTTTACAAGATGTCACGACAGTAAAAATTGTTCAAGTGTCTGAACAGCTTGGCAAACGATAGAACAAGTTTATAAAATATTTCCATGCCAGTCAAAATGTCGCCGTGTTGACGGTGTAGAGCGCTGGCGTTGCTCCTGCAGAGTTTTAGGCCTCACCTGCAGAATACAGAGCAGCGGTGGTGACGGTGTAGAGTGCTGGCGTTGCTCCTGCAGAGTTGTAAGCAGTAACTCTGATCTCGTAGCGTTCGCCAGGCTGCAGTCCTCCCACTCCGAACGTTCTCGCCGCTGCCACGTCACTGCTCACTGTAATCATTTTGATTTGAAAATTATAATAAGCTGGTTCTACCTTTTAACTTCTATTGCCGACAGCACTGCTGCTAATGATTTCGTTCAAATCAGCCGGCAGCGATGTTGACTCGTTTTTCGCGGCCCTTCGTGCGTGCCTCCACCACCTCTGATGACTCACTGCTGCCTGTATAGCCGGCAGGGACTTAAATGAATTTTAATAACCATTATTAGCTGATTAATTTACCCAGAGCGACCGATTATCACAGTAAATGTCATGATCTTTTAGCACAGTAAGGAACCCTGAAGAACAATAAAGGCTATTGACGGGACTGTGATGACAGGAATGTCTATGCAGAGGCCGCGCCAATGGAACTCGCGTCATAAACGAATGCGTCAGCTCCTAAGAGATTAATTCGTACAGATTGCACTTTGTCTCGGTCTAATCAGTCTACTACGCTTCCCATACCATTCATAGCCATATATCGTATGGACTTCATGTGTAATCTTTAGAAACCGCCGCGGTTCAAATTCATCTCTGACAAACAGAAGACCTAGTTTGTTAAATAAATTTCATGAACGATTCATATGATTTTGAATTCTTCTGTATGCAGTCATTGTTGTCGATAAATTGATCATCTAGAAGCGCCATCAAGACTAATCGGAACCATTGTAGCTCAGCAAATATCTCCCTCCAATGCTGAAGTGATGCTGAAATAATGGGAAGTGAGAAGTACGCGTCTGGATAGCACTTATATAATTAACGTATTCCTTACCGATGATGTTCCGCACTGTAGAGAAAAAGTGATATAAGCTGCCGCATTTGAGACCAGTGACCGTGTGACTGTTGGTTGACATATTCATTTCCAGAGTTTCTCCACCGGCAGACCTGCAAATATACCAATAATAATAATTTACAGTGTTTCCCAATCGGCGGATCCGTGAACAGAGTCGCTATAATTTCTGTCAGGCTAACCCAAAGATTATATTTTTAAGCTAATAACATATCAGACGTTATGTTAAATCATCTGCCAAGAAGATTTCTATCCATTCTAGCGCTGTTTGAAAAATCTACAGTGTACCTAAACACTGTGAAATCTCAGATAACATAGTTCTAAGAACTGGTAGCCGTTCTTATAATGTAAGTTTTTTCTAGTGCTATTGATTCACCATCCATATTCCACACTCTAAGGCTGAAAATAATTCGAGATTTCACCGCAGCCTGCGATAAAGAGTCCAGAGTCAGCAGTTGAACGTAAACTTAATATCCTGACTCGTAAAGTGGCAGCGAAAAATTTTACTGAGCTTGGGCAGCTCTCTGAACAGCCACGATATATATTCAACTGATTGGCTAACCGATAGTAGAGCTGCACCAAAGCAGGAATCTGTGAACCAACGCTATTTTAGAGAAAGGCTGAACGATAGTAGAGCTGCTCCAAAGCAGGTCTCTGAACATCAACGCTACTCATTTGATTGGCTGACCGATAATAGAGCGTGGCGCCTAGGACGGGCGCCCCTCCGTCGTCGGCCACCGTCCACTGGAGGCGCACAGAGGACGCTGTCGTCTCCGTAACGTGCAGCAGGGGTGGTGAAGGCGGCACTGTGGACAATAAGGAACTAAATACCGCGTCGTGTGTCTGGTGAGTATGCAGGGGACATAAATTCATAAGTGATAATTATTGGCATCTTTTTGAACTGATCATCGAAGAGATCAATGGATGCTATTACCCATGACTAGAATTGGCTACTCACAACCACCTACGCAACATTATCACGGTGAATGAACGCGTTGCTGACAATCATTCTCTCATCGCAATGAAATGGTAAAACAGGCAGTATCATCATAAATCATCAACAACAAATTTGAAGGTCTAAAAGCATTTTCATCTCAGAGATACGAAAAATAAATACCGAGAGTTGGACATCTGCAGACACGCACACAACCCGTTGCTTGTATTGTGATTCGCCGCCAACATGATCGGAAGTAATGAAAGTAGAGTGAAGAAAGATGCAAGGTGCTCGAGCATCTACCACGAGCACTGATGACTCTTAGGTGTTAGGTGAACTAGTACACCTTGTGCACCATCACTCACTGATGACACTGAGGTGGTCGGTGACCCAGTACACCATCACTCACTGATGACTCTGAGGTGGTAGGTGACCCAGTACACCATCACTCACTGATGACTGTCGCTGCCGTGGGTGTTGGTGGCGGTGCAGGTGTAGCGGCCGCTGTGGCTGCGCTGCGCGTCCAGCAGCCGTACGCCGCCGTCCGTAGCCAAACTCAGACGGCTGCACGGAAGAAATTATTTTTTAACGATGAAAAATGTAGTGACTAATATCTATTTGGCTCATAACGGAGAGTTTAATTCTTAATATGATGCTTATAATTGACGTTCATTAGTTTTTTTATCATTTCAGGAATTAAAGATTCCAAATACTTAATTGAAGAATGATTAACTTTCCATTGCCGCAGTCCTGCTAAAGGGTATCAAACCTAAACTTCGCCACCCTCTTAGGAACACCTGTCTCCTAGCATACGTCTTTCATCTCTTAACTCATCCAGGTTATTAATGGCCGAACATGTTCAGAACTTTAGGATAATCATGGGATAAGGAAGATAATATTAATGGCCGAACATTTTCATAAAATTATAAACAATCGGAAATAACACCCTCAAACAATCGGATGACATCATCATTTACACAATATGCATTGGTTGGAGATGCAGCACCATGAATTTCTTTATCAAAAGTTATACGTTTAGTAACCTGTCTTCTGGTAGGCTGGAGTCTTCATAGGACCAGGCGCGGCGCACAGGCTGATCACCAACGGTCCTGCAGGCGAGCGTCACGTCCTGCTTCCAGGCGACCGTCAGGGGACCTCCCACAGACCACACCCCCGCCTTCACTGCTTGCGAGACGCGTTTTGATGGTAATTATCGTTAGGTAATTAATTCATCATTAATAGCAATGTTATTATTATTGTTTATTTGTATTGCTTGTAGATGGGGAGGGGCATTCATGTTATTGTTAAAGATACCCCAAAAATGGCATACAATAAGTAAGCCGGCTGATATATTCCCAGAAAACCAATAGAAATCATTTTAAGTTTTGACTGGTCAAAAAAAAATCGTATTGGACTTCAGAAAAAATGAAAATCCCGGAATCCTAATAATAATTACTAAAGATCATGAGCATGATTTGTAAATTAGCTGGATAATTTTGCAGACAGAGAAAACCATTTCACTAAAATTAGTATTTCATTCCTATTCTATCCAATCAGTGAAAAATTGCTATTATGTTTCATAAGTTAATGATGATTTCAATTTTGAAATCATCATTTAACTTATGAACAGTTAATGAAAAAACAGTTATATGAGCGACAATTATAATTTTTCTACAATGCATTATAATTATTTGTGTCTATAGCAGCTGTGGAAATCAGGCAAGGGTTATAATCTTTGTTCATAATAAAATCCTGACGAAGCTCTGACAAAGCACCAGCTGCGCTCATGCAAGGAGATGTTATTTCTTCACACCAGAAATCTCAAAATCAATTTGAAAATGTACCTTTCTGTGTGGGGGTGACGATGAGCCTGGCACTGTCCCTGCCACGCCCTGCGCCGGTGTGAGCAGCAACCCACACCTTGACAGTAAACATAGGCTAAACCTTGTGTTACAGGTGCTTCAGTTTTAATATAATATATAGCGGTTTCAGCGTTTATTAGGCCGCAGGCCTATCGCCGATTCTTAACATTGCAGAACATCCACAGCTTGTTGCGGCTTGAGCTCTCAACTCACTGCTACAATTCTGCTGTGCTTAACAGCCCGGCCTCCTTGCCGATCCTGACCAGAAGCTGGCGCACAGAGCTGGGATCGAACCCGCACCTCTCTGCGCCAATCCTGGTACTCTGAACTTTAACCACTGGGCCGCCCTGCACTAACACTGTACGTCTTGATAATAGAGTAAGATTGTGAGAAAATTGTGGATCCACCTGAGGTTACTGTAATGTAACTGGCACAAACGTGATAGGAGGGGACTTTATATCCAGGATTATATGATTTATATATATAACTGTTGTGCTCGTTTGTGTTGATTTAACATTCTTAGAAACATAGCGACGAAAAACAAACAACTAAATAAAAATCATCGTTATGCATATATATAGTCACACACGAGACAGTAGTAAAGATCTTGAATTTAGTTATTTTTAACATGATGAACACTTCTCATCTAAAACAGAATTCAAAAGAAATAAAATGAATATTCAATCTAGGACATATATAAGAAAGTATTCAACAGTACTCTGGCAATATGGTCAATAGATAAGGGTAGGTCTGGTCACCAAGGCGACTAATGTCTCTCAATACAATATCTGTTTGCCTCGAACAACTAAAAAATTTCTATGGTACAGGTTACCACGTAAAGACATCTCACCTCGATGCTACCAGGCGGAAGGTTTTCAAGGAGGATGTGTTGGGTATTGGGATCAACATTTCTGAGGTTCTGGTCCTGAGGTGACCCCACATGGGTCCAGTGGACGCTGTAGTGCGTTATTCGTCCGTTACGATGTTGTGGTGGACGCCAGGACGCCATCACACTTGTGGGCCCTGCCACAACAGCCTTCACGCCGCTCGGTGATGACGGTCCTGTTCAGAAACGAAATGAACGTAATTTCAATAAAAAAATTCAATAAAAAAAATTAAATAAAAATGTATCAATATTTCAATCATATGGCGGAAGAGATAAAAAAAATTAGGGAATAGAAAATTTAAGGAATTATATAGTCAGTTTTGCTGAATAAAAGTTGAGTTACGCTCCAAGGTTATAAAGGTTGCTGAGTAATAAATTACCCTGAATTAAAAATACGATGTATTCTATGAATGGGAAAACAAAAAGAATTCATGCCTAAGGTGATCGATGCGCCAGAAAAGAAATACTGTACGATACTGATTGGACGCAAAGGAAAAGCTCCTGGAGCCATACTTTCAAAACTCGTTAAGTTAACTAAGTACTTACGCACTATTTTATTGTCTATGACTGTTGGATTTGGCTTGATAGGCCGTCAATGATTGGCTAATGAACTTACGATCTCTTAACTTTTTTTAAAAGTATGGACCCTGGATGCCAACAACATACTGAAGAAAAAGCACTCGTTTCTGCTCACTGTCTTCCATGGTGGTGCAGAACACAGGCTGGCTAGCGTTGCTCTCGCCGACGACTGTAGCGGCCGTCACGACGACGCTGTAGCGCGTGTACGGCCGCAAGTTGGAGAGTTTCGTGGACAAGCCTTCAACCACAACGACCACCATGCCTGCTGATATTCTTAACATAAATATTACTTACATTATTATTTAACATTGAATTTCAATCGCAGGAAACTTTTAGCGAGTAAAAAAACATGTGTTAAATACGGGTTTGGTACTATTGGACTCACCCGGCGTGTAGATTTGCCGTTGAAAACGATTGATCACAGAGTTCATCTATGACAAATCTTCAGTTTTTACCTGACCAAGGTAAAAACTGAAGTTTTTTTACCTGAAGTTTTTTGCCTGACCAAGCTCCAGGTCAAGATTGATGAATTCGAACTCATATAGGTACGTATAGATTTTGCTCTGAAATTATAAATCTAGCCAGCTGCCACGGTTGAGCCTCCAGCCGGGATGTAAACTCATAACAGTCTGTTTGCAACAAGTTTCAGATATCGGACCATAACCTTATTACTAGAGAAATAAAGCGGAAGCAAACTATGTTCATCTAGATGTAGTTCACAATAATTGGGTCCCCTTTTATTGGAAAGAACATTTGCTTGCAACCAACTGAGATCGCAAAATTTAAAAAAACACTGAGGGTCCATAATTTATTCATATTTGTGAGCAGGAAATTTTTTATGTGTGGCATAATACGCTCCATGGATATAAACAAATTCTAATTGTAGCATTGACGGAAAGTAGTGAAATAAATCAATTGCGTTCGAGCATGTATTTCGGCTGAGATTCATGAACAGCGCAGGTTCGAGATCAGATATCTCAACAGGCTCGCAGGCATACTGATTGAAACAAGACAATTCAACCGTTCACATAACAGCTCATCTAGCGTGAAAGCTCAATAATGTGTGTAATGCTTAGTGCTTAATTGAGACTTAATGTAGATAAAAGTATGCTGACTAGTGTCGATTCATATCGTGAAATACAATAGTTTGTTTGTGCAATGAATTTGCATATTATATAATCAAAGGGTTATACACTATGTAATACACTATAAAGCGCAAATGCGAGATTTAATTGGTTCACCTGATTGCAAACCAGATGTAGGAGTGCTTCCTGAGACACGGCTCAATAAATCCCTTGTTGAGCCTATAGGAAGAAACAAAAGAGATAAAAATTGAGTTACAAATTAGTTATTGATTGTTTAAACAAACTTTTTCGCAATGACTAACGAAATTAAAATAGGTTTTTTAAAAAGCCATAATGCATGTAATTTTCTTCAATAATCTCAAAATGGAAAAAGTGAGCTAAGTGTCTATGGTGTAACAAATGAGTCACATGGAATAAAATTCTTAAAGCATGACAGCTATAAATGTTGTCTATATTAATAAGCATTTAAGCTCTTTCTGTTTTAGCTACTACCAAATTAAGAATTTAAGAATACAAGGTTTATGTAGAAGTAAGAAATCTTAGAAAATTTAATTATTTACTACCTGAAAATGCATGGAGCCCTGCGCCAAAACTTCCGTCACTGATTGCTGTCAGTGCTGAAAGTAGGAATGAGGAAAATCAAAACACGGAACGGCGAAGACCATGGAATCACGTGACAAAAAACATGAATAATTAATAATTTACATGATGTCTAATATTAAGCAGCATGTAGTAGAGGTCATTTTGCTTCCAGTACAGTTAGCTAACTGAACATTTTGCATCAACAGAAAAATATTTTGAAAGAACTTGGCAACGACGGAAAAATTTCCAACGGGTCTGAGCAGAAACTATAGATAATTTTTACGTACCAAATTTTATTTCACTTATTGTACTCCAATTCATTTTATGCAATCATCGAGACACCAACTCAAGTACAGAAAATCCCAAATATGGTTAGTCACCTACATGAGTCAAGACTTCAAAACGGGTCCAAAAAATCATACATGAGGCCAGGGTCTCACAAGTACATAAATCAAGGCGCCTACAAAAGTATACAGACACGAAGACGACACGTACGGTCGGAAGTAGGTGAATACGTGAGTCGATAGGTAATGATGACGCCGTTGGCGAGATGCTCGGGCGGAGGCAGCCAGTTCACCACGACGCCTGACGACGACGAGGGCTCGCAGCTTACCTGCTGGGGAGGCGCACTGGGACCTGCAACACGTTTGAACATGTTGCAACACGTTTGGACATGTTGAAACATATTTTGACATGTGTCAACATGTTTGGACATGTTGAAACATATTTTAACATGTTGCAACACGTTTGGATATGTTGAAACATATTTTGACATGTTGCAACACATTTGGACATGTTGAAACATATTTTGACATGTTGCAACACGTTTGGACATGTTGAAACATATTTTGACATGTTGCAACACATTTGGACATGTTGAAACATTTTTTAACATGCTGCAACACGTTTGGGCACGTTGAAACATATTTTGACATGCTGCAACATGTTTGGACATTTGGAACATATTTTGGCACTTTCACCTTATTTTCCATGTAGTGGTTNCTACACCTGTCTCTTATACACATCTAGATGTGTATAAGAGACTGGTACTAGACAACAAATTGGTGGGGTCGATCTCAGGAGAGGCGGGGGGTGGACTGAGGCCCGGAGTTGCCATAATGGAAAGCTCCTTGTACGATTGACTCGGTCCAGGCAGGGCAACGATGGTGAAATTGTACGGCCTCACGTCAGCTCCGTTGATAAATCTGGAATTGTGATATTTATAATTAAATTGAAATAATATAATCAATATGATGTTGTCATATTGCACCTTGAGCGGCGAGCTAGCAGTTAATCTGTAATGAAGTTGTAGTTTTGGGCTCTGCTGTGGTTGGGCAAATCATCATCCTGTGGCGAATAATATCGAACATTTCGAGAATCCTGCTTCAGTTATCATGAAATCTCGCAACCCTTAACTAAATTGTTATTCAAACTTTGAATTAAGGCGAGAACGCAAAGTTATACAGCATATATATCTTAATAAACATAAATTAATATTAATAAATAAATAAATTATAATATAAAATTATATTACATAAATAAATGTAATATTTTTTAATAATTTTTTATATATTTTAATAATATATATTTAATTATAAATGTAAAATAAATGTAAATTACATAAATTATAATTAATAAACATTAGTAATATTTCCAAGTTACCCGTTCTCCCTGAAGCCGAGGTGGTAGCCCAATATGACACCGTGGCTGAGGTTGCGTTGTGGGGGGTCCCAGCGCAGACTGATGCTGGTAGACGTTCTTCCTGAAACCTAGACGAAGAATTTATTTAATTTATATTTTTTGGCGAGAATTTATCTAAAAATTCTTAACATGTATTATGAGGCATGAAAAATAAGTTTGCAAATAGGTTGTTGGTCGAATGATGAATAATTAATTTTTGATATTCATGAAATGCATGAAATATGGCCGAAACGTTAAGTTTGTTATTCTGGGACATTAAAATTTTTCGTGGGAATTTTTCTAACAGATAATCGTCAAAAAAAAACTTTGCCAGTTTGATACGAGTTCGAGGGTAGCATAAATTAATCACATGACAATAAAATGATTAACTTATAAGTTAATCAGTTCACAATAAATAGATGTGTCTAAGTAATTTTCTAACACAAACCATGGGAAATTGCTCACTAGTAATTTCTAACACTAGTTAGAAATTACTGTACTAGCAACTGTACTATCACTGTACTAGCAACAAGCAACAGTAATAAAAACAATTTTAGCATCAACTATAATAGTTATACTTTAGTGTTACTAATAATTGTCGTGATAATTGTGATAGAAAGTGTAGTAATTTACTGAACTCACTTTAAGATTAAGTGGAGGCCCCGCCGGCGGCTCTTCGAGGGTAACAACTCTGACGCCGGCGGAAAACTCGCTGCGGCCAACTCTGTTCTCGGCCGCCACCCGCAGCAAGTAGCCCGTCGCCGGCACCAGCCCGTCCACGCGCGCAGGAGGCATCGCCACTCTGAGGGTAGCATAAATTAATCACATGACAATAAAATGATTAACTTATAAGTTAATCAGTTCACAATAAATAGATGTGTCTAAGTAATTTTCTAACACAAACCATGGGTAATTGCTCACTAGTAATTTCTAACACTAGTTAGAAATTACTGTACTAGCAACTGTACTATCACTGTACTAGCAACAAGCAACAGTAATAAAAACAATTTTAGCATCAACTATAATAGTTATACTTTAGTGTTACTAATAATTGTCGTAATAATTGTGATAGAAAGTGTAGTAATTTACTGAACTCACTTTAAGATTAAGTGGAGGCCCCGCCGGCGGCTCTTCGAGGGTAACAACTCTGACGCCGGCGGAAAACTCGCTGCGGCCAACTCTGTTCTCGGCCGCCACCCGCAGCAAGTAGCCCGTCGCCGGCACCAGCCCGTCCACGCGCGCAGGAGGCATCGCCACTCGCACCTCCCCGGCCACGTCTACGAGTGAGCATTGCGGTGGTGTTCAGTGAATACAGATTCCAGATTGTGAAAGTGTGGTTATCACTTGATGAGTTACTTGATTTGATAAGGAAACGAGATTTTATTAAATAATCTGATTGTGCAAAACTAAAAGCCAATCATGGTGCATGGCTCTCTTAAATATCTGAGCTTTACTCTACAATTAATTAAGGACTATGGTTGTTTTGAAAGTCATTTAGCGCCTGGACTTTCTTTATTGTTTGGTTGTAGGTTATTTGGAATATACAGTAGCTATTTAGATTTGTCAGTTGAATGAAACATGCTATTCTCAATTATAATAAAGAATTATAAGATTGTGCCTCGGCTGATGCGACAGCTGGCAGGCCCGACATAATAGTCAGAAATGTAAAAGTTTGAATTTTTTATATAAATTATAATCAGAATTTATGAAAAAGAAACATTGTGCTTAAAAGCATAAGTTATTAGGTTTGGTCATTGCATGCTACGTATGAAATTTAAAGCTAACAGTAATGCATGATGGAATGAAGTATTGAATTAAAAATAGATGAGATCAGTTAAAATGACTTGCATTACAACTCCCAGTCCATCCGACTTTAACGAATCAAAAAAACTTGTATTAAGTAAAATTCTATCGAAGATAACTTCTTATATTTTTAACGATATTTCATTTCCGATGAAATAAGGACGATATGCGCTGCCTCCAATCAGTCAGTAAATATCAGACAGTTCAAATTAACGTATTTAAACATTAAGTGTAACATTTAGCAAAGTTTCTCCCAATTCACGATGCAGAGTCTTTCATGAATTTTGGAAAATTCATAGGAATAAATTCTTGAGGAATATTACGAATGACCTTGAGACTCTTTGTTAAGATGTTATTCTAGCACAGAATTTGGGTTCACAGGACTCAGATGTCAGAGGGGTAGGTGGGAATGTGATTCTAGATTCTATAACATCATTAGTACTCACTGGAGTCAGAAGTGTAGGTCGGGATGTAATTCTTAATCATCGTTTGTACTCACTGGAGTCAGAAGTGTAGATCAGGATGTAATTGGTAAGAGTGCCTGCAATGGACGCCGTGGTTGACCAGTTGAGACTAACGTGCCGAGACCCAATTTCCGTTAAACTCACTTCAGTTGGAGGAGATGGTACATCTGAGATCCATGTAAAAATGAAAAAGTAAAAGTTAATATTCCATAAAATGCGTTGAATATATTTTACTGAATGAGCTGCTAATAATAATATATACTTTTCTATTTATAAACACTTATATAACAATTAGTGCCCGTTTACTCTATTAATTATTTTTATCTACAGTGACGTTCATTGGAAGGACAGGACTTCAATTTCATATATGATTGGAAAAGAGTCATAGATCAATCAGGATTTGTTCTTCACATTTTACTTTAACTCTAATAAAATATCGGATAAAGAAGTCTCCCTCTCGCATCTAAGCATCGATGATATCTACAAGAAGTTAGTTAGCAAAATGTAAAAAGGAACATTGCAAGTAAAATTAACTCGTACCATCGAATTTCAACGTTATATGTGAGGCGCAGGCAGAATTTTGCGAGGTCCAAGCACATTTGCGAGGCCCAAGCAACATCAGGCGAGTCCTGCTACTCATATTTATAATAATATAAGTAGCAGGAATAATAATTTGTAGTCCTGCTAACAATATTAATTCATGATTTATACCGCATTGCCCTCACCCTGCACACTGAGTGTGACGGTGTAGGTGTTCACGCCGTGCACATTTGATGCTCGGCATTGGTACAAGCCGCTGTCGTCTGAAGACGCAGCGTTGACAGTCAAAAGAGAAACTTCCTCAAGCTCCTCACGAACAGACTGCACATTGTACCTGCAACCAAAATTGCGGAAAGTGGCGTAATTATCTACAAGCGTTTAATTACTTATAAGTTATAACTATCATAAACTAGTAGAACCTACTCATCTTGAGTAACTACGGTTTTTTCGCTACAGTTTCTGCTTATATTCAGATACAAATTTGGTAAACACAAATGGGTGTTGTAATCGCAATATCCATTGACGTTTTATAACCTTCACCGTTTCTCAATACTGAAGCATAACTCTCTTCATCCATTACTAAGCCTAAGCTCAAGTGTGTCTTCGGCGTTAAATTTTCCATCGAGTTCTTTTTTATGCTCCAAACAATTGCATGTTCATCTCTAGTATCCGAATTATGTGCATACATTTATCAGTATTGTCCCCAATAAACACTTTTGTAACAAATTCTAAACGTTATTGTAGAAACTTTTTAATCGAGATTTGAAAACTCTCTTGTCAGGAAACTATTGAGCTTTTAACTATAAGGATAGAAAACTACGCCTAAACTTAGGGCAACAACTTTGTTTATGAAATTTGCATTTTTGTTATTTTTCTTATTTAATTCACGATTATATAATATGGGGACACATTTCTCGACGCATTTACAGTGACAACTATTTGCTTGCCTAGTTATCTTTTTCCGACGTACTATTTAATGTTATCTTAAAACACAATTAATTCTTAAAACACAATTAGGAAACTATTTCCTCTAGTTTGGACCTCCACTGAATGGCTGACGACGGCAAATTTACATCAATAAAAACGAATATATTTTTTAATTGTAATAAAACGCAGTAGTTGGAGATTGGAATATTTTGGATCGGTCGCCACTTCTAGGCATAACAGGATCATAACTGATAATGAGCGAGACTCGAGCCCGAAACTCACTGCTCTGCAGGTGCATTACCTAGCTACCGCCGCCTCTTTTATTTAAACAAAAAAATTTTCTCGTTAGAAGCGAGTTGCAAACCTGCAACTCAATCTTTAGTAGCCGCAACCAATCGGCTCTTTTAAGTGTAACACCAAATAAATGCTGGTTGGTAGTTTTAAATAGAAAGTTCTCATTGATAAAAACATACCACCATGTAATAGTAATTTTCTAGTAATATTTAATGAATGATGAATAAATATTTCTTTTGTATAATAAATCAACTCTTCCATGCGACAACATTTCTTCTCGCTTCGAAACACCGATATGTGGAACAGCCTCCCCGATGACATCGTTGACGCTTCAAGTATGAATGATAAAGCAGGAACAGACTAGATAAAGCTATGGAAAAATATATCTTCAGACTTGAAATGCCTAGCACCATATCGAACCCGGTGCAAGTCTATAGTAGCTACTTCAAACTATCGTCAGATTGGACAAGATCCGGTCGAAGGACCTGTTTTAGATCTCCTGTGGACAAGTCACGAAAAGTACAAGAATCGGCGACATTTCAAATCAGGCCTACTCTTCAGCGCCAATATTGCTATGATATGTTATGCAATGTAATCATAATCATTAAGTACTCATTACTTATCGGAAGGCGCGATGGCATTGCCGCGGTAGCTCCAGACAACGGTGAGCGGAGCGTCGCCTCGCGCCCTGCACTCGAGCGTCGCGGCCACCCCCGCCTCCACCTCCACCGTCACCCGCCCCCCCTCCGGGAACCAAGGGGGCTCTGGCACCGAGTGATTAACGTTGATTTAGCGAAAGATTTTTTTTATATTTTACGTAATAACATCATTAGCGTCTTCAAAATTGATCTAAACAAAAATAGAATAGGAGGAAATCAAGTTTTTTTTTCAAACTTACAATATGCTTCTCGAATCCTGGACCATCTCCAATAATCCAAAAATTAAATTTTGGGTTATCCAGTGGAATTAAAATTTTTTAAACTAACGCGGCTTTGAGAATTCACTAACACGGTAACTGAAATCAACAACCTCGAATAGCATCGATTAAAAAATGCAATTGAAAATTCACGAACTCGAATACAATCTCCTTAAAATAAAATAGATCATCGACACATGCACGCCCATAAACAACGAAGCTTCTCGAGACAAGTAATTCTGGCATCCAACAAAGCAATTCATTTAGTTTTAGTAATATTATGAGGAAATATTTGGAACACACAAAGCCTATATAATAATTATTTTACCTCACGGAAATGTAGCACATTGGCATCTGAGGAAATGTGGAGCCGTTTTGCCTTGTGAAGGCATGAATGAAGGCGAGATTTTACGATGAGGAAAATGTTGCAATTAAAGAGATTTAATAGCAATTTCTCAGGGAAAAAATTATTCCATTGCAACACTTCGATTATTGCTCTCGCGACCACATTTAAAATGCAATAAAACACACTGTTGGTACGGGGTACCGGGCATTTGCACAAAATTAAATAACAAAATCCAATAAGTTACAAATACAAAATGTATGAACAACTAACTCACTCCTCAGTTCAGATATTTCCAGTTTGGTTAGATTGCTAATTTCAGAAAAATCACAATATACATTATAAGCCATAAATCAAGAATATAAAAATTTTATTTTATTATCAAATTTGAATGCAGTTATTCGTATTATGGCGCAGTCATTGAGAAATTCATTTTACATACACAGTAGTTCATATTAAATATTTGTTTCCAGACGGTCAAACCCATTCAAGTCTCTCTCTCTGATACTAAAAACATTTACGCCAATTCACGAGAGCTTTTGGTAGTTAAAATGTTGCAAATAACCAGATTGGACTTCAATTTTTTAATCGGTTTCATTGCAGCTTCGCAAGGTTTGCTCTCCAAGCCACACTTACAATTCGGTAATGTTGAGGCAAGCAGTTTGCTTCACTCAGGCCTCACCGAGGACTGTGATGGTGACGAGCTTGGCAAGTTCGTTGCCGACATTGTTGGAGGCTTGGCAAAGGTAGCGGCCTTCGTGCTTTCTGGTCGCTCGGACGATCGTCAGTACACTTCTGCCTTCACTCTGATATGGACCTAAAACGCAATATTTTGTGCTTATGTTGACATACATGTTGTAGTTGAGATTATTGAATACTTATTACACTAGCTTGACTGGGCTAGGCTATGGTCGCTCTAGTACGCACCTAGCCGTAAAGGGAATCATTTTGAGCCATGTTGATTTTGAGATCAACACTAAAAACTTGACGATATTATATAAGAATAGATTATATACCTGTATAATGGGTTTTCTTCTGAAGGGCAGTTCGCAGTTGCAAGAGGTATATTTTTTAAGTCAGTACCGCTTTGGAATTGAAAAAAGAGGTGCAAAGATATCGAAATAATTTTTTTTACATGAAAACCTGTACCTTAATCTACTTTTTTACATAATTTCATGAATATTTAGGCACTTGTCATAACGTGGCACCCGTTTTTGAATACCCTCCTGACTTGTTAACCACTGCATCACAAGTGACGAGTGCAGTGTGATGCATTTGATGCATCAAGTGCAGTGTGAAGCATCACACTGCACTTGAAGGAACACTTGGGCGGTCGGCGTCTTCAAGACGATAACGAAGTCAAAACATTTGTGATGCAGTGGTTAACAAGTCAGGAGGGTATTCAAAAACGGGTGCCACGTTATGACAAGTGCCTCAATATTCATGAAATTATGTAGAAAAGTAGATTAAGGTGCAGGCTTACATGTAAAAATAAAGCTATTGCGATATCTCTGCACGTCTTTTTTCTAATTCCAAAGCGGTACAGACGTAAAAAAAATGCCTCGTACATGAAACATGTGATACATGAAATTTTTACATAAACTGACCTTTTTCATGGTATTGTCACTGCTTTTAATAATATTTGTACCCGGAAACATTCATGCAAAGAAAATGAGTAAATCTCATTGATGGAGGTAGAGAAAATTAAACTGAATCATCCATTTAATTGCAAAACAGAACACGATACCAACTCCTGTATTCAGTGCCTGCATACCTGAATATGGCCGCTGGCTGTCGTCTCCCGTGGTCACGGCGTAGGGGGCCTCCTGCTTGTCCTGGTCGCCGTACTTTTGGCTGATGGCGCCCCAGCCACCCGAGGCTGTGCAGCAAGCGTACATTTATCAAGGGTTTTCCAATCTAAACTCTACTCATTTATTTCTTTAAATAAATATTATCCATAGGTAAGTAGCTAAGACTTTATTTTGTTAAAATATGATTTTCAGAATTGAAAATCTGAACGACATTGAAAATCTAAACGTCATTGGAAATCTGAACGTGATTGTAAATCTGAACGTGATTGAAAATCTGAACGTGAATTCAAATTATCCTACATCACCAATACGCCGTGAAGTGTTTATATTAGAAGAATAATTTTATATTTATTCACTGAGGATCCAATTATGGAACTCACGTGTCTGTTGCCGCCAGCTCACTGATGGTCTGGGGAAAGCCTTGGCGCTGCAGGGCAGCTCTAGCGCCGCGCCCAGCGCAACACTCGCGTCCTCAGGCTCCTGCACCCACTCGGGCGGCACTGCACATTTAATAAGTTAAATTAATTGATTATGGAGACGTTAATTTGTTTACTTCGGCGGTGAATTTTGCATGATGACTGATCAATTGGTGGGAAGACAGGTAAGTTGACATTAGGTTCATAGGATAACTTATTAAATTTGGGGAATTATTATAATAATAATTGAAATCTAGGAAAGCCATAAAAATAATTGAAATCTAAGAATTCCGGCCATAGATTGAAATGGATATATAATAGTGAACAAAAATGATCGAAGAATTTTCGGTAATACTTTCTTAGTTGTTTAAAACAATACAAATATAATAGCTGAAATAAATTCTTTTCCAATCTGCAATACACCTCAAACCGTCAAATGTCACATGTATAAATAAAAGAAAAATAGTTCGTAAACCACATGTTTAGAACTACAATTATACAAATTGATTTTCTTTAATCAGACCTAAAGTCATGAATATAAACACATGTTTAAATGCAGCACTTTAATTTATGATCCTTCACAAAAGCTCGTTTATATCCAAAGGCTGCCAAAAACAAGGTCTTGCAGTAAGCTGTTAAAGTCGTTAAGTAAATTTAATGGTCTTTGGATTTCTACAATAATTAATTGATCTCGCTCTAAAAATAACACTGTTTCTAGTTAAAAAATAATACACTTGACATATTCTCCTCCCACAAGTTCACTAGTCCAGCAGAGACAACAAATGACCTACCACTGACGGTAAGTTGCGCTGAAACAGTGGTCGACATAGCCGAGTTCGAGGCTGTGCATGAGTATTTCCCAGAGTCCTCGCCGCTGGTTTTCTCGATGGCAAGAAGTGAAGTGAACTCATTAACGTGCGTGATGACCACGTTGGAAGTCTGCTCGAGTTGGGTGCCGTCTTTGGACCAGGTGAGGGTGATGGGCGTGTCGCCCCCCAACACGAGACACGTGGCCTGGGTCCGCAATCCAGCGCTGTTCTCACCAACGAAGTAGACGTTCGCCAGCCTGGGAGGAACTGTCACGAGACCAACAATATTGTTTCATATGGGGTTACTGTCTGTATATATTATTGTGTATGGAGGGAACTGTCAAGATACCAACAATATTATTGTATATATGGAGACCGACAAGCGTAACTGTCACGATACCGACAAGCGAAGACAAAAATCTCCCATATTAAATTATTTCAATTTCCATTTCCGATCTCTGTACCCCTATAGCTAAAATATCCTATAATTCATTGTATGAACCCACAATTTACAACCTACAATGCCAACCGGTGTGATCAACAAGCATCGAGAAATCCAACAATAAGACAAGACTTTCCGTCAGCCTTGTTATTCGGTGTCCAATAAAAATAGAATTAAAACCTTTGACTTGAATGTGGAGCGTCTGGTGGTCAGAGCGGCCTTGCTTGTCGAGCGCCGTGCAGGAGTAGCTGCCTTCGTCGCCCGCTCGCGTGACCGCAGCGATCGTCAGCGTCCCGTTGGCGTGCACGCGCTGGTGGTGCGTCGCCGGAAGCTGCACGCCGTCTTTTAGGAATATTAATGGCGATAGATGTGTATAAGAGACAGACNATACGGGTCAGAGCCGCACCACAAGACTGACGACCGGACAGCAACGGAAAGCATGAGTACAGGTACGAGCTGCACCACGATGCCGACAACCAACGCAATGATCAGGAATTCGAGCCCTAATGCACTGCCAAGAACACACAACCGGGGTGGCAGTTACGCCTCAAAATCGCGACTATTGAAGGGTACGTGCCTCCAATAAGCTGCTGATAATTTACTCGAGCGCAAAGGTTATTAGCCTCTACGACACGAGGGTGCGAATGGAACGGCTGTTAACCGCCCAACGCAGTGAAAATCCGGAACTATCCAAGAACTCCACCTTCGCCGTTATTAGTCCGTTAAAGGAACTCATGAAGAGTTATGCCCAGAACTGCGGTGGAGTTTATTCTTGTAAGCCCAAATTTGGCTTGCCTTCCTTCGAGTCGAAACCGTGGCAGCCCGACCCCGGACCACTGAGCACACACAACTTCTCCGCGTGGGGTAACTCAGCAAAAATGAGCTTACCTCAACATCCCGTTTACAATGTACGAAACAGACCGTAAATGCTTTCTAAGTGTAAAAAAATAATATATTACAATACAATAAAGTCATCATAGTTTTACTCATTTGGCAAACTAATCACAGTTAACAGTAGAATAATCCTAAACCAATTCCAAAGTGATCAAACTCTCCATCGTTCATGACTACCTAGCGCACCGTCGCGAGGCCAGGAGCAGCTCAACCAATCACGTTGGAGGTACACATTCAGTCTCGTCTTAAGACGCTAACAACTAACTCCTGAAAATATCACAGCTAGACGAGACTCCACATTACAGTCATGAAATAAATATATGTTTACGCATTACTTAGTCATACATAAATTAAATCCTTGAGTTAACTCAGAAGCGAAACAATGTTCTCAAAAAAATAATCCACAAAAATTGTGTTCCGTCACACATGCACGTGGCTGATCACGTCGCCATGAGCTGACACGTACTGACCCATTACGAATCTGATGAGCAGAGATGTTTTAATGATCTCTGTCATGTGACTCATCCCATTACCATCAGCAGATACGGACTGACTAAAATTCAAGAAGAATTGAACATCCCCCGTTTTATTTCCCTAAAAAGGACCATCAGCTGCCGTTGGTATCGAGTGAAGAACCTACCTCTGATCGTAAGGCCACTTGTGAACACCTACTATCGAATATCAGGTGTTTACGCAGAAGAATCGTCCTGAACGCACTTGAATGTACATGCTATCGTAATTTATTCATTTACCTGTTCTCGCACCATGTCTCCAAACCGAGCCTCTAAAATTCGTTTCCGCGGGCTGTAGAATGAAGAGTGCACTTATGGTAACCTGAA